CCCCCGGGGGGGGGGGGGGGGTAGCAAGTCGATGGCGTGCAAATCGAGTGCGAATTAAATTGGAATGTAAATTGTGGCGCCGCGCACCCAACTGCCAACTGGGCTATCGAGCGCGGTGAACTCGAGTGCACTTTCTCCACTCTCCGAGAGCCTTTCGATTCGACGTCTCTTGGACGGTAGCCGTTACGCTTATGATTTTCAGCCCCTAACCTGGTATGTCGAAAAAAAAAATAAGCCCGACAGATCAAACGATCTACAAGCTCGGATGTGTCGGGACGCTTGTTCTTTCGCTTGACCGCACAATTGTAACATGGAAACGATAAAGCACCTACGCCAAGTCGATCGCTCACGCATAATTTTGTGTGGATAAAAAAAAAAAATTTGATTAAAACAAAATTTTTTCATCTCTCAATACATAAACATAAATTCTTTTATCTGCCGTAAAACAACAGTACTTGGTTACACCAATCGTTCGATCTGTCTATTGACAGCGAGGCACAGAGATAGTCGAATCTGAGGGGTTCAGAGGGGTTCAAGCGTGGGTCAGCCAAAAATCCACAATGTTAAACTGCTAATAGGATAAGCGGCTGGCAATGTCGCGATCGCGAAAGAAAATCAAGAGCAAATCTTCGGGTCGTTATTTAATCGGCAACCGTGATTCGGTTTGTGGAATAGAAAAATTCAGGGCCGTAAGAACGTGAGAAAGGAGCCCGAAGGGCCCGTTACGAATACGAGTGGGTCGGACTGGGCTGCCCACGTTTTACATGCCGCCAGGCCCCGGCTGCTTTAACGGTAACACGTGCCCGACAGCATATATCCATATATACATATGTGAATACGTGTGAGCTAATGCACGCGCACGTGAATGCACATGGGGACAGGCGCGTGTGCGAGTGACGCCATACATGGCGTGCACGGGCGAAGCTACGTGTGTGATTGCTCGCATGTGAGGAGTGAGCGGTGGGTGGGAGGGAGGGGGGTTCTAAGGGGTACCAGGGGGGAGAAGAAGAAATAGAATACAACCTGATATAAATCGCTAGATCACTTTATGATCTACGATAACGAAGCGCTTCCAGCCGTTCCATAAATTCTCTTGTGCGATCGTGCATTAAAATTATTTTAATTGAATTTTAAGAAAAAACTAACATTCAACGACGATTGATTCTCGATGACAATAGGCAGGTACACGATTAGGTGGAAGACAAAGTTGGGAGGGCGACGATATAATTTTTCATTGTAAATATAAATATGACACGCGCGCCGGTTCGTACTAAACGATGTATCAACACGTGCATTGCGGTTAAGAATAATGATAATGATACTAATGGCTGCGAACGAATATTAATACCTTCTGTCACTATTAGCGCAAATGGCCGTTTACCCATACGTGTGCGAAGGGCTGGTTACCTCGTGAAAAGAAAAAAAGTAAACCACAATTACGTGAGAATTGTCTAACCGTATTCTACGGTTAGGTACGGAGCTCGTAGGAGCATTGAGATTAATGCGTTTAGTAAATCTGATTGGTGCGCAAGGAGAACTGTTGCGTACGCGCGCAGGACTTACTGGCGCCGGTCACAGCATTCTCTATCTATATTCTTGGCGTCCCTTGCGACTACCCCCCCCCCCCC